CGAAGAACGTGTAAAACACCCGTACCTTGCACAGCGGCAAATCTTCTTGCATTCTCAATAATCTTACTTACACCTTTACCTGATTTCGTCATATATGCAGCAATATATGTTGCCAAACTATATGGGTCGATACACAATTGAATATCCATGTTACCTGGCCAAATAGAAAGTATTAATTTATTGAAGTTGTTCACGTAACAATCCCGTACATCTCTGGCATGAAAAAGCGTTCGTTTTTTTAGGCCTACACGCAGACAACTAATATAATCGTCGTAAGTCAGGCGCACCGTGTCCAGAAATAAGGCAAAAGTTAAGTTCGAAGTTTCGATTAGGTGATTCTTCCCAAGAGCGTTTAAAAATTCATCTACTCTCTTTTTATTTAACCTATGTTTTTCCACATCGGTGCAATTTTTGTCAAAAGGCATCAAAACTAACGTCGTCGGAAGTGGATACTTAGGTATACCAAAACGGCATTTACGCGATGACCGATTCTTTTTTATTCTGCACGTTCTCGTATGGTTATGAGTTTGCACTTTCAATAGGTCGTTTGTTAGCGAATCTCCAGCAAGTTCTTGTGCGTGACACGATATGTGCTTATCGGCAAATGCAAAAATCTTTTCTAGAGGAATTGCAGCATCGCAAGCTAAAAACTCACTCCATATTAGGCAATGAGTATGAGGGGCACCTCGATGTTGAAACTCGTCGAGAGCAAAATAGTCTACAATTCCTCCCAGAATTCCGGTTTTTTTGTTAAAATCTCTCGAAACAAAGCATTTTTTGTCAGAGGTCCACTGGTGATCCCTGATTGATCCTAGGGAAGGGTTACAGGCATGGCGGCCTGGGGGGTTATGGGCGCACTCACCCGCTACACAAAAAAGCCCTTTTATCCCAGTGGTTAGTGGCTGGGATTCTGACATGGTATCAGAGCGAAGGTCTCGGGTTCGATTCCCGGTGTGTGCACCTCGGGCATCCCAGTGCGAGGGGGTGTCAGAGGTCCACTAGGGATCCCCGATGATCCTAGGGAAGGGTTACAGGCATGTCGGCCTGGGGGGTTATGGGCGCACTCACCCGCTATAAAAACAAGCCCTTTTATCCCAGTGGTTAGTGGCTGGGATTCTGACATGTTATCAGAGCGAAGGTCTCGGGTTCGAATCCCGGTGTGTGCACCTCGGGCATCCCAGTGCGGGGGGGTGTCAGAGGTCCACTGGTGATCCCCGATTGATCCTAGGGAAGGGTTACAGGCATGGCGGCCTGGGGGGTTATGGGCGCACTCACCCGCTACACAAAAAAAGCCCTTTTATCCCAGTGGTTAGTGACTGGGATTCTGACATTTTTTCGTTCGACGTAGTACCGCGCGCTAACTACAGGGTATGTACGTACGCGCAAAGCTATAGTTTCAAAATCTAAAGGAGGAATTAAATTGGGATTTGAAAGATTAGCTAAATTTCCAGTATTTCTGTTATGTTCCAGTAGAACAACGTGCAAGTCGATCCATTTTGTATCGGCCATAGATATTGTTAAAAAAAATGTTGGCGGACCTAGCTGACGTATCATCGCGAACAGATCTTTCCTACAATTCTCTAGGTACTGCGGCGACATGCGAAGACTTTTGAATTCGTTGAACAACGTATCATTCTTTTGTAATAATCGACGTGTATCAGTATTCAACATATCTTTAGCCGAATATTGACCAACATGCTCGATCATTTCTCGTCGCACACGTGTGCCAATTACGTTGTCCATTTGAATTAATTCTAGCTTAAACATTTTGAAAAAAATATTTTGCGGACATGAAGAAAAACGCGCATCTTTATGAAGGAGTTCCCATTTTGCAATATCACGATATTTTAATGCCGATACATCGGCATTTGGCAATCGAACTTCTCCGCAAAATAATGTAGGAAACGCTAACTCCTCAACATGTTTATCCATCAGAATAGGCAACGGTCGCGACCTTTCGCCGGGCGCCATTTCAACTACAAATTGCTCTAGATTTTGATACAATGGTTCGTTACAAATTACAGTGTCCAAAATTCCAACGTTTAAATCGCCTTCGTCAATATCCACTTCGACTTCATCACCGAATTCAGTGACACCTTCGTTAATCGCCGCATAATTGTTACTTTGGCAATCGTTGCTGTGTGACAAGAACTGATTGTGAAGATCAATATCATCAATCTCCTGTTGTAATTCAGTCATTCTTTCATTATCTAGTCTTATTCCAAATTTTTTGAACAAATCTTTCTTCTCCAAAAACGAAATGGCTCGTAATATCTTGGCGGGTCTCACGTTGTCATCATACACATCATGTCCATTCTGCAATTTGCGTTTAAAACGCACACGAACGGTATGAGTTTCTTGTGGTAGTCGAGGCAATGCAGTAACCATGTCAACAACCTTGACTGGAACATTTACTACCCCGCCGCGTATCTTGTACTGTTTTCCAACGTGCGTTTGTGTAATGCTTGAAAACACAACGCGCGGTGAAACCAAACGCTCTTCCAAGTCCGACAATCCTGTAAGTTCGTGAGGTCGATTGGGTAGCAATGCACCTTTTTTCCGAGAAAGTATGGGCGTTTCTTCGCTCATGATTGCAATTTTGCAAGTACGACACATTTTGGTAACGGTACATGCCCCTGTGGGTTGCCTCCAACTGTCAACTGTGTACTAGATGTGCGTCCATCAGATGTACGGTACAGAACCGCGCGCGGTGTTGGCGCGAGCATGTGCGAGTTATGTCAGAGGTCCACTGGTGATCCCCGATTGATCCTAGGGAAGGGTTACAGGCATGGCGGCCTGGGGGGTTATGGGCGCACTCACCCGCTACACAAACAAGCCCTTTTATCCCAGTGGTTAGTGGCTGGGATTCTGACATGGTATCAGAGCGAAGGTCTCGGGTTCGATTCCCGGTGTGTGCACCTCGGGCATCCCAGTGCGGGGGGGTGTCAGAGGTCCACTGGTGATCCCCGATTGATCCTAGGGAAGGGTTACAGGCATGGCGGCCTGGGGGGTTATGGGCGCACTCACCCGCTACACAAACAAGCCCTTTTATCCCAGTGGTTAGTGGCTGGGATTCTGACAAGTTAGTGTTCGCGAAGTCGTAACATGATGTGCGAATTTATGTGCAGGTGACAGGTGAACCATTGAGATTGCGTGACCCTAGTGTTCATCCAACGGTTGGGGTGCGGGTACGTTTTGGTGCATGTACGCTGACGTGGCCATGCGGGTTGAAACAGGGTGCCACGTGGGTGTGCGCGTACGGAGTGGCTGTTGGGGTTGCGTACTCGTCGCTTTCTAGTCGATTGGCACGGTATGGTTAGGTAAACTTTTGTGTGGCGCAGCCCGTTACTGTTTAGCAACTGCCCAGATGCGGGTGCAGTGGCTAATTTGATGCACGCATATGTACAGAATGTCGCGGGAAAGTGGACGCAAAGTTGCTTTGTAAGTGACTGTCGCCATGCAGATCTAAAACCTTGACTCAAAAGTGCCGGGAAAAAAATATCAGGAATGTTGAGTAAAAGTTTCTTTCGATTTGCTTTTCGAGCTTTCCATTTTCGCGATGCTGATGACGGGTATGTGTCGGAGGCGTTTTCCCGAATTGAAATTACTTACAAGCATCTTTCTTCGAGCATATCATCATTTTCGTTTCTTACACGCGCGGCGAAACATACCAGCCTCAATACACAAAGTTCAGGATTGTTTAGGGTTGCTTAGGATTGTTTACGACGGGATCCTCGCTGCGATCGAGGCGAAGGCCGGGAGCGGCGGCGAGACGGGCTGGATCTCCATTGGCTGGACGAAAAAAGCCTGCCTCATGGCTCCTGCCGATGCTGTGGTGGGAAATCTGGCGGGAGCCGTGCCGAACAACGTGCTGGCTTACGCGATGACGGGCAAGGTTGCGGCCCAGATCAAGAAGACACCCGCGGTGAAGCTGTCGGCGAAATCCGTGGTCACTGCTAACGGTGGCAAGATCGTCAAGTGAGTTTAGTGTTCTCATTGCGCTGCAAAATCGCCCCATGATCGTGCCCGTTCTTTCACCTCCAAGGTTATTCCTTCTTCCAAGCCACCAACCCATGTGTTTTATTTCTCATATTCTCAGGTTCACTCGCATGGGCAAGGGCGGTCTGGGTCCGGTGAATTACGTGGGGAACAACAATATGATCTGGGCCTACTCCGACGGCCAGGCTTTCAACTCCCACGCCAATCGGTAAATCACCAATAAGTTCTCAGTCCCACCTTGGTTTTTGGTTACTGCTTCGCATGTACTAGTGGTATGTCTTGCTGGAATCATCATTTGCCTGACTCTTCCTGTGTTCTCCAGGGGTGCCATCGTCGTCAACTTTGCATGCAAGGTGTAACGGCATGATGCCCTTCGCATGCAAGGTGTAACGGCATGATGCCGTGCCTCACGGCTCAGGGGACTGTAGCTGATAGTTGAAACAAGGCAGCTGTAGAATGTTAGGGCATGAAGAACCAGCAATGATGTGTACCCTGTTGCTGCTTGTTGTTGCATGTATTTTGGGCAATTACATATTTATCAGTGCAAACATGACCCACAGCGAACCACCCATGTATAAACCAAAGCGAGTCGCGCACACAGGCGCTGTTCTGCAGGCGTTATCGGTTCCGCATAATTTGTGCGGGCAGGGCTTTCATCGTGGTTTCACGGCGCATCCAATCTGGTGTGGTTGCGTGGATGTTGCGTAGAAGTCCAGCATCATCCCAGCCACACCTTCGCATCCTGGCGAATGTGTGCATTTCGGGGGCTGGTACTGCCCCGCATATGTTGTGCGGAGGCTGATGCTAGCTCTCGAGGAAGAATCAGCACCGCACAAATGGTGCGACCTTTTGCCCGTCGAAGCAAATTCCTCGAACCAGCTGGCGGTTAAACTTTTGCGCACCAAAAGTGGTGTTCTGCAGGCAGAAGCATCAAAATTGGCGCAAACAGGTTTGGCAAGAAAGCCCTTATCACCAAACCTGTATAAGCAGAAAGGGCCTTATCAGCGAATTTTCTGCGGACCCGGTTTCTCGCCAATTAACGCCTGCAGAACAGCGCCACAGGGCGACTCCATAACAAGAAACACAAATCCAGAGAGGAAATTAGGGAAACCAAGAGGCCCGAGAACGGCGGTGGGAAACGAGAGCAGGGAAGGGAAGGGAGGGGATCGGAGAGACACGAGGGCGGCAGAGGGGGGATGTCCACGACAGAGGGAAACGAAAGGGGAAGAGGGAGACGATGGCGGCGGAGAGGAACGAGAGTGGCGGAGAGGAACAAACGCGGCGGAGGGGAACGAGGGCGAAGGGGGGAAACTTATGCGGCGGAGGGAAATGAGGGGGCGGAGCTAAACGAGGGCGGCGAAAGAAAAATTAGTGCGACCGAGAGGGCCGAGAACGACGGTGAAAAACGAGGGATGCGGAGGGAAACGAGGCGGCGGGGGAAACCGGGGGGGCGGAGAGACACAAGGACGAATCGGATGATTGTGGACGTCAGAGGGAAACGAGGGCGACGGGGAAGAACGAATGTGGCGGAATGGAACGAGGGTGGCGGAGGAACTGAGGGAGGCGGAGAGGAACAAGGACGGAGATAGGAAAAGGAGAAGCGACCCCAAACGAGGGCGGCGGAAGGAAACGGGCCAGGCGGTTGGGAGCGAGGGCAACGCAGGGGAACGATGGCGACGGGGGGGATGATGGCGACGGGGGGAACGATGGCGACGGGGGAAACGAGGGCGACGTGGGAAACGATGGCGACGTGGGGAAAGACCGGGGGAACAATGGCGAGGGGGACACGTTGGCGTAACGTAGGGAACGATGGCGACGGGGGAACGATGGCGACGTGGGGAATGATGGCGACGGGAGAACGATGGCGACGTGGGGAACGATGGCGACGGGGGAACGATGGCGACGGGGGAACGATGGCGACGAGGGGAACGATGGCGACGTGGGGAACGATGGCGAAGTGGGGAACGATGGCGACGTGGGGAACGATGGCGGAACGTGGGGAACCATGGCGACGCGGGGAGCGATGGCGATGTGGGGAAAGACCGGGGGAACGATGGCGAGGGGGACACGTTGGCGTAACGTAGGGAACGATGGCGACGTGGGGAACGATGGCGACGTGGGGAACGATGGCGGAATGTGGGGAACAATGGCGACGCGGGGAACGATGGCGACGGAGGGAAGCCTGGGAGGCGAGGGATGCGGGAGCGACGGGGTGGTGGGGGGGGGTTGTCAGAGGCAACGGAAGATCCTATAGCGACGGGCAAGCATCAGCGACGAGACATGACAGGGCAAACTACGGAAGCCAGGGCGACGGGGCAGGAAGACAAGGGAAATCGAGCAAGGCGAAGGGGAAGCTCGCCGTGTTTGGTGTCTATCTCGGCTCGAATGCCACGCACTACCTGCATTGCCGCACGTGAATCAGCTACTTCCGGAAGGAATTCCCAGCAGAGTCTATTTTAGTATTGAAATTGGTCTTAGTAATGAGCTGAGGAAATCCATAACTCACCCAAAACCACATCGAGCAAGTGAAACCTGCTGAACACCCATAAAAAACGTGGAGAGGGATTGCGCCAAAATGCACAAATGCGAAAAGGTGCGGCTTGTCAAATCACGCGCTTCGTACAAAAAATTGACCAGACAAGAAATTTGCCGCAGGAAATACAGGTGTCCGTTTTGAATTGTTGTTATGTGTGGAATCAAACGATCTAGTGAAGATTGCACTAAAGACTAAAAACAAGTACATTTTATAGCTAAGTGTTACGGGTGCAATGGATCGAGGTGCTAGGATTACACTAAGTGTCAAACGAGTACAAAATGTGAGCGAAGGCATGAGCGAACATTTATACGCGAAACATGCAAACGGTAACGCGGTGCGTGCGAGCTAGCTAGTGATATGCTAGCAGCGAGGTTCGGGCTAGTCCCGAAGCGTAGGCCGACACGGCCGGGCCAGCAGTGCGAGGTTTGGTAAAACAGTGCGCGCGAAGTTGGCGAAGCCCTGTTAGCAGTTTCGGGCGAACAACGGTTGTTGTTGTACGCGATGTAGCAGGTTTCCGTAAGGAATGACGAGAAAATCCCTTACACTAAGGCAAGCTTGTACGCGTTGCTGATGTGCGCTGTAAGGAGTCCATAGAATTTCCTTACGATACCACCCTTCCCAAGAAGCCCCTATGCCAAGCGAGAGCATTTATATCGCGCAATCCCTGGGTTTGTAAAGTATACTTGGCGGACAAGGTGGTTCTCAATGTTGTCCAAGGGCATCGAGGTGTATTCTATGGAGAAGCGATCCTTCTAGCGAACGAGAAATTCAATTGTCCTTACATGGGGCACAATTCTATGCGTTCATGCACGTCCTTAAGCAGTTACCACCAGTAATAATACGGTTGTAGTTGACGTCGCCTTTTTTCTTCCCCGAAGTGACTAGATGTTATTTCTGTCAGAATGAGGAATGGATGATGCATTGATGTTGGTTGGGGTACATATAGCTAACCCTAAGTTTTGTACCCCCTAAGACAAACCTCACTATAGGCTACAACATTTGACACACCCCCATAGCCTAAGTGAGGGGTGTCTAGCAGAACCAAACGAGTACGGTCACAAGACCAGTCCAAGAAACGAAGCTCAGGGTGGATCACAACGTCACCACACAGTCTGAGCACAAACAACAGTGGCCACAAGGCCAGTCCAAGAAGTAACAGAGGTATATAGAAAGCAAAGTAAACAGTACACTCAAGCCTAAGCAACACGAGAACCAGTGTCAACAAGGCCTAACTGCACACAGCACCTCTGGTGGTCACAAGGCGGAAGCGCCTTGGTGAAGATGTCTGCAGTGTTGGCCTCGGACTCCACAAACTCAAAGCGAGCCTGTCCACGCCTCTGCAACTCTCGCAGAAGAAAGTACCTGACGTGAATGTGCTTCACTCTGCTCTCCAGTCGTGGCTCTCGACAAAGGAGAATAGACGCCTTGTTGTCAGTGAACAAGGTCGGTGCAGAGCTCGGCCGCTCACCAAGGTCGGTGAGCAAGAAGGTCAACCAACGCAGCTCCTGTGCCGCCATGGCACCAGCGTAGATCTCAGCCTCAGCTGTAGAGGTCGAGACCGAAGAGGAGCGCGTGGACCGCCAGGAAACAGCTCCAGAACCCAGGCTGAAACAGTACCCCTGAGTAGACCTGTGAGTCTCAGCGTCGTCAGCGTAAGAGGAGTCACAGTGACCAGTAAGTACGACAGACTGCTGCCCTCCAAGAACTAGCCCCACGCCTGACGTCGTCGCTAGGTACTTCGCCACCCTCACAGCTGCTGTCCAGTGAACAGGACGGTGTCTCCCTGGCGCAACAAAGCGCGCAAGAACGCTGAGAGGGAAGGCGAGGTCCGGGCGAGTACAAGTCATCAGGTACATGAGGCAACCCACAAGCTCTGCGTAGGGACCACTAGGCTCGAACGGCTCGTCAGGAAAGGGTCCAGTGAGTCTGTGGTCAACAGCAAGAGGTGTGCGCTGTACTGTGGAGTGCTGAAGCCCGAACCGCTGAAGGACCTGCTGCACCATGTGCGACTGTGAAAGTGTAATGGTGCGAGCAGCTCTGTCCCTGGTGATCTGCAGGCCAAGGTAGTGGCGCAGCTCACCAAGATCAGTGCAGGTGTGTCTCTTCTGCAGTTCAGACTTCACGTGTGCCAAAGCAACCCTGTCAGGGGTGGCGAAAACAAGGTCGTCAACGTAGACCAGAACAAAGAAAGGTGTGGGGCCACGACGAACGAACAGCGACGGGTCAGCAGAAGACGGCTGGAACCCAAGGTCAGACAGGGTAGAACGCAGGGTGTCGTGCCACTCACGAGGAGCCTGACGAAGACCGTAAACCGGTCGCCTCAGCCTCCACTGGGTCCCAGGAGGGAAAGAGCCAGTGAAGGCAGAGGGACGACGCAACCAGACCTCCTCGTGAAGACTGCCCTGAAGGAAAGCAGTAGAGAAGTCAAGAGAGTGTAACTCGTAGTCTCTCTGTGCTGCTACGTGTAGTAACACCCGAAGAGTGGTCATCTTCGGGGTGGGCGCGAAGGTCTGAAAGAAGTCAACTCCCTCGCGCTGACTGAAACCTCTAGCCACGTAGCGTGCCTTGAAGACCGGAGGAGATCCCGGTGGCCGCTTCACCCTGTAGATCCACATGCCGTCGACTACGTTCGCCCCCGGAGGGGGAACCTCATCGACGTAGGTGCCTGTGGATCTGTAGGAGGCCATCTCTGCGTCCATGGCAGCTCTCCACTGAGAGGCCCAAGGCCCTGACACTGCCTCAGCGTAAGTGCGAGGAGTCGGAATGTCAAGGGCGTCGGGGTCACCCTCAGGGGCGAGGAGCATGGCACAGAGATGAGGGGAAGCGGCGGCCAGGAACTCTAGCTCAAACTGCCTGTCCTCTAGGGCGTCACAGCCAAGGGCAGACACACCCCCGACGGCCAGAGGACTGGAAGGAGGAGCAGCCACAAGAGCGGTGGCGAAGTCAAGGCGGCGGGTAGAGGCAAAGTCAGTGACTGCGGCAGTAAGAGCGGACACAGAGGACACAGAGGCACGAGGGTGAGTAACAAGCGAGGCGAGAACACGAGAGAGAAGAGGACGGTACGTGCGGTAGTAGTCTGTGACAGGAGTAGGGAGCGACGCAGTGAGAGCCGACTCAGGAGGAGACGGAAGCACAGACGGAGACGGACGAGGTGGACTAGAACGAAGTAAGGCAGTACGAAGGTCAGTGAAGGGAACAGGAGACGAGGGACGAGCACGAGGGGAGCGACGAGAGGCCCAAGTCTGAGAAGAAGGAGGGGACAACGAAGACTGAGAACGAGGGAAAACAGCGGGAGAGGGGTCAGGAGGAGGAAGCGAAGGACCAGAGACGGGAGGAGAGGGGGAGGAGGAAGGAGAGGGAGAGGGGAGACCAAGGGTCCGAAGACCCGAGACAGGAGGAGGAGACGGCAGCTGCTGCTGCTGCGGCTGCTGCGGCTGCTGCTGCTCCAGCGGCTGCTGCCCCTGCTGCTGTCGCTCCTGCTCCTCGAGCCGCTGCAACTCTCTCTCCTCTCTCTCCAACTCCAGCTGCTCCTCACGAGCACGGCGAACACGAGCCTGGAACCTGGTCGGGTAGGGGTGGGGGGAAGGAGTAGTGTCCGGGGCAGCGGCAGCCCCAGAGTCGACCTCCGAAGCACCAAGCACACCACCCCCAGAGGCAGCACCAACACCAGCTCCAGACCCAGGCTCTCCAGAAACCGAAGGAACACCCTCACCCCCAGACGCAGCACCCCCAGACTCCGCACCAGCACCCCCAGACTCCGCACGACCAGTACCAGCCCCCGGAAGACAAGAGTCCTCTGCAACCCGCGGCTCAGCTCCAACTCCAGCACCCCCAGAACCAGAGACCTGTACAGGGACAGTCGCAGGACCAACCTCCCGAGAGGGAGCACCTGCAGGAGGCGGCGGGACGGGACGGGGACGGGACGGGGCAGGGGCGACGGGACGGGACGGGGCGACGGGACGGGACGGGGCAGGGCGACGGGACGGGGCAGGGCGACGGGACGGGGCAGGGCGACGTGACGGGGGGAAAGGGCGCGACGCGACGGTGGGAAAGGGCGCGACGCGACGGGGGGAAAGAGCGCGACGTGACTATAGGCTACAACATTTGACAATTTCGTCGTCTGCTTCTTATTATAATAACTCTTGTAGCAATGGGTATGCCGGTACCCAGATGCGACAGGTTCCCATGTCAATGGGTATGCAGGCTCCTGTCAACGGCTGCGGATTATCAGTTGTGAAGAACGTGCCGTTAGGGTGGCCATAGGCTAATATTTCCATAAGTAGAGGCGAGTGAGGGCATCAACGATATGTGCTACGCCTTTTTGTACACTACGCCTTTTTTTGCTGGACTCAAGATAGCTAAACCAGCAGATTGTCTGGGTTGAGATTTAGTTGATCTGTAGAAAGTGATGGTCTGTTCGTTCTATCACGTCTGCTCCTGTTATGTAGCACCGCCACACATTGCATGCGTG